AACAACCCTGCCTTAGGTATACACCACAATATTCCCAACTTAGAACTTCCAGGTCCCTACTATCAGACGACTTTTAGACAAACAAGTAATAGAAAAATAGATGGTAACAAAGCACAAAACGACACATTCTTATATTACTCTATCCTAGTCAACTAGTTCCAGAATTTAATCGAGACAATAAATAGAATCCGTACCGATAGGTCACGGATCAGTGAAAAGATTCTGATCTTTATTCGGAATTAGTCGTGAACCACCAATCACTAAAAACCAACCACTAAAATTTAGATGCCACATAAATAGAGAGAAGAACAAACACCCACCGGCCGAAAAATGAAACCTGGACAACTTAAAAAAATCCTAATTGTAAAGCGATTGCAAGGAGAATTGAATAGAGAACTCCTAGAACAGAGACAGAAAACAATAGAAGAATGGAATAACGTTGAAAAGAGTGTAATGAATTAAAAAACATCAAAGAAAAGAGCTTTAGTTTGATGAAAAATGTAAGCAAGCAATAAACAAAAGAAATAAATTATACGTGCAGAACGCCCAAAGAAGAACATGCGAAAGGAGTGAAAAATTTCAATAAGAACGAAGAAAGGCATATAAAACATGCAGAAGAAAGCAGAGGATATACGAAAATTACCAAATACTAAAAATGCAGAAGATTTTAATCAAGGTAATACTAGAGAAGCAAATAAATATCTGAAGGAATAGAAACCGCGCATCAATATTTGTAGGAATAGTAAAAGATAAAGTATCAGTGATGATGGAACCATAAAAGCAGGCTGGAAAAACTATTGCGATGATCTGCTAACAGAGCAAATACAAAAAACACATCCCATGCAGTAGCGGATCTGGAGATAATAAATGTTCAGAAAACAAACTACGAAATAAAATATCCATCCACAATACAGGAAATAGTGGATCCCATTATAGCACTGAAGAATCATGAAAATTCACGTATTGATAACATACTAGCCGAAATTTTCGAAATTGGAGGACACACACTGATAAATTGACTTCATAACAGATGTATGGAACACAGAAGAAATTTCAGGAGGCTGGAAAAAAACCAATTATATGCCCAATCCACAAGAAGGGATTAATAGTAATTAATTTTTAACAAAAATGTTATTTCGTTTATTTATTTTTTAAATAAAATGCGCTGCTAGCTGTTAAAAAGGCAAGGAATCAAATATAAAATAAAAGACAGCTAGCGCGCAACGCTACTGATTTGAAGTGTCAGTTGAGTAGGTTTGTAAAGCATACGTCGATAGATATATTAATCTTATACATATTATCACATGTCAAACCCCTTGTTATACAGATAACAGGTAAAAAACAGTTGAATATAAAAACAATAGTTATAAATAAGGATAAAACAGTAAAGGAAAAGATCAAGATGTGTGAGATATGTAAAATAATAGGAGAGTGGTAGTGAGATAAGTTACGCAAGCTATCTTAGAAACAAAGAGCAACAAAGCACCTTGAGAAGGCCTGATAACAGTCGAACATTTTAAACATCTAAGTGCAAATGTGTAGCATTTTTAAATTCTTTGGTATATATTGAAATCGTATATGTTAAAATACCGAAATATTATTTCAATCCTCTCTGCGTCGCCGAGTTGATATAAACACATTTTACAGTTTGTTAATATATTACAGACGCATAATCTTTGTTATTTTCTTTGATCGTTTTCCGCTTAATATTGCGTTTCAAATAAACATTCACTTAGATCGCTGAGAACATCATAGACATTTTTTCTAATAATAATCGCTTTCAAACAGTTGGAGAAATTGTAATAATTAAAATTATGTGTTAGGGCGTGGCCTAGCTTGCTGTCATATTATTTGTTCTCAGTTTTAAGATTTAGTATTGACATATGACAGTTAGCAATATTTTTGAGATTTGGTAAATACCTAATCATATTTGAGATTGTGCTTTTGTTTTTAAAAAGGTTAACCTCTATACATATTTTCATTTAAAAAGATATTTTTTTCATTGTAATAATTTATTTCTGCTACAAATTATCGCCAAGTAACAATTGTAAGTTTTGTAGTATCTCGAAATTCTAGATTTTGTGAACGGATAGGACATAGTAAGTCTGTTTTTGATATTTTGAAATTGTTTGTATTATCTATATTTGTAACTGCTTGTGGTGACAATAATAAATGTGTAATTTTTTTCCTAAACTATTTTGTTTATTTATTTTAAAAGCATCTCTAAACCCTTTTTTGTGTGTTTTGGGAAGAAAGAACCTTTTCTTTCATCCGGCAGGAAGATTCCTTAAAGCTGCGTCCATTTTAAATAGCTTGAGAAACTTCTTGTGTTTTGTTTGTCCCGGAGACTCATGTAAGTACCCCTTTATTTCATTTTCGTAGTTTGCCCAATCCAATCCCATTGTTTCATTCACTTATCCACGATTCAGTTCTCCAAATAAACCCTGAGAGCCGTTCGCAACAGTTTCGTTTATTTTGCTTGCCTTATCTCTACCTCAATAATTTCTGTCCCCAATTTTCAACTCCCTATAATCTATGTGGTAGGCAAAATATTCGTTACAAATGTTATCAAAAGGTATTCTTTTTTAAAAGCAATGTTCTTCCAAAGAAGCACAAAGTTAAAAGTTGCGACGGTCACCGCACAATATCCTTAATAAGTCACATTGCAATGATATTTATGAGAAGAATATTAAATCGTATTCAAGTAAGGTGTGAGAATATCTAAGTCGTTAATAATAAATATTACGTTTATTACAAAAAAGCTTTCGATCGCATCAATGATGAAAGATTAATCAAGGTATTACAGACGTGGCACTGACCGCACATGATATAGCCATCATTAGTATGATTTTTTTGATCAGAATACGGCAACACCAATTACATAAATATAAAGCGAGGAATTCGCCAGCGTTGGATTTTATCTCCTTTGCTTTTTAATGTATACGCTGAACACATCATTAGCGTACTACAAATATCAGATATGCGGACAATACTATGATATTAGCTAAATCAGAAGAACAACTAACAACCCTAATGAATATACTGTTAATTCAATCAATGGCAGTCAATGTGTTAATTTCTATTATTCGACGTGCATGCTTACGTATAAACGCAGCTTGTAGGCTATTTAAATGAAGTATAGTATCATTTGTGTTGTTATTCTGAGAGAACAAATATGATATATCAAATAATTCGGAAAAAAATTACTGTTAAATATAAAAAGATCAGTTCAGGGAAGTTCAGACCTGGTTGTAGCGACACTAAACTTTATTTTCTGGTAATAAAGGTTATAGTTTCAAATCATGAGCGTTTCTACAGGGTTATCAAATGCTTGCGATACAATAACTCTGGCGTTGTAATTTCCGCTTTTATAAAGGGGCAGTCCTTGCGAAGAGGCGGAATTCGCATAGAAAAGAGAAGTAAAGAGGGAGTAAACGAAAAATAAAAAGTCTAGCCTAGGAACGTTGAAAATATTGAACATAAAGACTAAAATGTGGGATCGGCTGAAAATTGTTTATATTAAAATTAATAATTATTGCAATTTCCGCAAATAATGAAATATTTTAAACTATTAAAATTTAATGAATTTATTTTCAAAAATGTCTTTTAAAAACAGTCGAAAGCCGACAAGTCATTAACATATAATCTATTTTATAATTTGTGGTTTTTCTTGAGAGATATTGAAAAAAAAACATACACACAAATAAGGTGCTTTAGAACAAAAATCGATAAAGATGAAATCTGGCAACTCGAACGTACGGACAAACCGCATTGATTTTCAAGTAAGTACAACAAATTAGACACACAGTGTAATACAATATACGAGAATAATAAAAACATATCCAATGAGGCATGAATTTCCAGTTTCGAAATGTACCACTTTAGGCTACAAAATTAACAAGATAGCATGCGGAATTTCCAGCTCCATATCCCATGCGCATTGTCACGTGAGCTTCTAGCATGCGTCTTGGTATAATTCCATTCAAGCAACGTAAATTTTATGACAAGTATTTAAAAATAGTTGCGGCGGTTGCGTATTTGGAAAGATTTTTGAATCATATAATGAAACCCAATGTGTGTGAGCCGCACTCACCCCAAAACGGTCCGACAGTTACCACGTCAGTTTAATGTCTATATCTAGGTTTTGTTATGTTTATTGAGATCGGTAAACAAGAATCTGGAATTATTGTTGCTCGGGAAAGCGGGAAAAATTATTAAAACTACTTAAAAAAATGTGCAAAAATTGGTTTACAGTTTTTTATGTTTAACGCGCTATATCTTAGATATAGAGAGACAAAAAACATGAGATTACTTTATCATAGGGGAATAGAAAAATGACAATAAGCACATACGAGGTGTGTTCAAAAAATACCCGGAGTTTTCGTTTTTTGAAAAAAATATGGGCAGGCATGGACATACATTCGATACTAAGAACAGCTCAAGATAGAGAGCAATTTGCTATAGTTATAGCCAACCTTCAGTAATGGAGAAGGCACCTTAAGAAGAAAAAAATATTTATTTATTTGTCTACATTAATGGCAAAGTTAAAAGTTTTTTTAATTTTTGGAAATATGAAAAAATCACACGGAGCTATGTCTGGCGAATATGGAGGCTGTTATTACAGTACTGTTTTTGGCGAATAAGCAATAAAGTGTGAGCTGGAGCATTATTGTGATGTAACAGCTATGAGTTATTTGTCCACAAATCCGGTCTTTTTTTCGGATTGCTTCACGCAAACGGCGTTGAATTTGTAGGTAATACTCTTTATTGACCGTTTAACCTCGTGGCAAAAATTCAAGTTGCACTATGCCATTAAAATCAAAGAACACAGTAAGCATAACCTACACGTTCGGCCGCACTTGTCCATCCCTTTTTGGCCATGGCGAACCAGAATGCCTCCACTGGGACGATTGAATTTTTTGATTGAACAATTTTGAAACAAATTTTACTGATACGCGTTTCATACGTCCTGACATGAGCTAACTGATATGCCAACTGCATCAGCGACATCTTTCATCGTGATTCGGCAGTCGTTCATAACCATTTCTGTCACTTTTTACGTTTTCATCTTCAACCACTTCACGGCCATCTTGGAAACGCTTATGCCACTCGTAGATACTTTTTTTCATAGCCTGTTTACCACAGGCTTTTGTTAACATTTCACTTTATTTCCAATTAAAAGCTGTGACAGATATCTGGGAACATCTTCTTCTTAGCCTTCTATCATCCATGTTTGGACATAGGCCTCTTCCAACTCCTTCCATCGGTCTCTATCGTGAGCAACATATTTCCAATTTTTTCCGGCTATAATTTTAATGTAATCAACCCATCTCATCTGTGGTCTTCCTCTTGGTCGTTTACTTTCGTAAGGTCTCCAATGTTGTATTGAAGTATTCTAACGTTAGTCTTTTTGTCAAGCAGTGTGGCCCGCGAAGCTCAATTTAAGTTTGGCAATTTTTGTTGTTATGTCATCGACTTTTGTTTTTGATCTTACCCAGTCGTTCCTCTTTTTGTCTGACAGTCGTATACTAACATTGCTCTTTTCATTGTTCTTTCTGTTGTGGCTAGTTTATTCATGTTTGCCTTGTTTAGGGTCCAGGTTTGACATTCATATGTCATGATCGGAAGGATGCATTGGTTGAACACTTTGCTCCTCAAATATTGGGGTATTTTGGGTTCTTAGGCATCCAACTAAGTTTTCATACGTCTGAGGTCATCTGTGTTTGTCTTTATTTTTGTTTATTTTTTCATATTCATTTTTAGGTCGATGTATTGGGAGCTGCCTGCTAGTTCCCCCATCATAATTTGCAGTTCCTCGAATGTGCTCGCTATAATCACTATGCGAATCTGAGGAGGTTTAACTTGTTGCCATTAACGTTAATGCCATAGGTTGACCAATGCGTAGTTTTGAATGCGTCTTCTAGGGCTAGGTTGAAAAGCTTTGGCGATATTACGTCTCCTTGTCTCACTGCTTTGTTAATGGGGATGGGATATGTATTTTCGACTAGTTATACTATCATAGTTGCATTGTCATATATATTATGTATTAGTTGTCTATATCTCGAATCTATTCTACAATTATTAATAGCTTGTTCTATGGCCCACATCTCGATACTATCAAACGCCTTTTCATAGTCGACGAAGGCAAGAAATACGGGTAGTGGGTATTCATTTTCCTTCTCTATCAAGATTCTCATTGTCAGCAGATGGTCTGATATACTATATACTTTGCGGAAGCCAACCTGTTCAACCGGTTGGTAATTGTTCATTTTGTAGGTCAACCGGTTGTTAATAATTCTCATAAATAGTTTGTATACTTGACTGAGCAACGATATAGGTCTATAATTCTGTAGATCACATTTGTCCCCTTGTTGGTATAAGAGTATTACTAGACTCTCATTCCAGTCTTTAGGGATCTTGCTATTATGGTGACATGTATTAAATAGTTCTGTTAGTACAGGGATTGTTAACATCTTGCTTGTTTTCAAGAGGTCGGCAATTATACCGTTGTATCCTGGAGCTTCATTATTTTTTAGCTCTTTTAAAACTCTTTCTATTTCGATTTCCTTTATATTTGGTAGTACTTCTGATCCCACGTTTTTTATTTTTCTTTTGACGTTCTCTTTTGTTGTTTCATTAGGCTGGCTTTGCGAGCTGTACAAAGATATGTAGAAGTCTTCGACAATATTTGTTACTTTATATTTGTCCTTCTCTTCCTTATTGTTGACGTCTTTAATTTTGATGATTTTTTGAACTCCCAGTGCGGTTCTTAGACATTTTAAGCCTCTGTTGTTTTTAATGACTCGCTCTATTAAGTATAGTCCGGCTGCGAGAAGGCTTTTATTTATGTTTTTATTAATCTCGTCAATTTGATCTTGATTATGTGAAGGATCAGATTCGAACTTATCCGCTAAGACCTCTCGGAATTGCTCTTCATTTGTTTTTAGTTTAAAGGCATCTATCCTCGTTTTTTCTTAAATCCTTTTTCTCTCTTCTTTGATGTTAATATTTATTTTTGTTCTAACTATACGATGGTCACTACCCGTTGTGACGTTGTTTATTGTTCTGACGTCTTCATATATCTGGGAACATACTTGGACAAAAAACTTTGATGAAAATATGATATACATCATGCCACTAAAAAATCCGAAAATGCGATTAAAAAGTTTTCTGTAAAACTTATTGAGGTGCAGATCCTAATATTGGTCTATTATTTGATCAATCTATACTACGACCAATTTTCAATTATAGCTGTCACTTATACGGAAACGCGTCGAACACGTACCTATTTAGAACAAAATACGGAGTTTGAATTTGTTACAAAAATCATTAGCAAAATCCAATATTTCTTAAATGCATATATCATTTGACTATATTACATTTAAACGAATGGTACTGGTTGAAGAAAATCTCCACGTCGAAAGCTACTTTCAAAATATAAAAATGTTTTATATAAGAATCATACTTCTCAGGTTACACTGAAAAGAACCATATTGTATTGAAAAATCAAGACAAATTTCTTAGATACCGATATCCAAGGTCCCAGGTTTACCGCGGAAATCTCAAATAGCTGGTCAAACTATCATTACATATTTCTTACGTCCATCTTCCTTTCCCGAATCTTCTTTACATACCAAACTTTACCGCTGTACACGAACGCAGGTCTCACCACACTCTTGTATATTTTTCCTTCTTATACGCTTCCAATTACACCAGCCAACCTGTATCCAGTAGGCAATTTCTTGATCAGTGTCCCATTTTCAGTTATGTAGGAGCCAAGGTATTTAAATTCTCCTACTCGTCCTCGTTTTTCTCCAAGCAATTCTATGTCCCCAACCATTACTCTTCCTCCCAACAACATATATTCCGTTTTCGACTTTAATTCCTCCTTCTTCAATAGCCCTTCCCAACCGTCAAACTTCTCCTGCAACATATCTTTGTTCTCCTCTACTAACACATATCATTAGCAAAGAGCATTGACCAAGGAGCCTCCTCAATTACTTTCTATCAGTACACCCATAACAAGATTAAACAGGTAGGGAGGAGTCTTAAAGCAAACCAACCGTCACTGGAAAATTTTAGGTCAATCCGACACGAGTGCTTACTTTGGTGTGGTTACCCCTTCTTCTCCTATAGCCTTCCAAACCTCCACAGGTATTCCATCAGGTCCTACTAACTTACCGTTCTTCATCTTATTTAACGCCTCGACAAACAAAATCTCTTGCTATCCCATGTATTACATTCTCATTTGAGATCTCCCATCCTCTGTCTCTCATCGGGTGTCAACTTTGTAAAAAACTCATACCATCTTTATCGATTTATAACACTCTTTCATCTGCACTCTTAATCTGCCGCACGTGGGTGAAGTCCCTTTATGAGGTGTCCCTTGCTTTAGCAATGTTATATAACCTTTTCATCCCCACACATGTTTCCAACTCTTCAGACGATATTTTCTTTAGACTATTAGTAGTAGCTATAGTGCACTTTGTTTCCCTCTTTATTATCTTGCATATAATATCTTATCTTCCTCTCTTTTAAACCTGTCATACCTCTTTCTAGCCTCTTTCTTCTCTCTACCTTTCTGTTCCTATTCATTGTTCTACCACTAAATTTCTTTGTGTCAAAAGAGGCCCTTTACCAGATGTAACTTCCTTTACACTTCCTCTACCACTCGCACCACAACTTGTCTGTTGGCTTTCTACCAGTTATCTACCGTATCTTTTTCCTAAACCTCTTCCAGCACTCTACTCTTAAAGACACTTATCAAATACTTCCGTCCGAAGACTTGCTTCCACCTAAACATTATACCACTTCCTCGCATTTTCGTTCACATTTTTGGTTTTTATGTCTTATATATTCTTTTAAAAATTCGTTGTTGACTGCGGTATTGATTTTCGTCGTCTACGGTATTGATTTTCGTCGTCTACGGTATTGATTTTCGTCGTCTACTTCTTGGGAGTTAAGTCATTTGCGATACTCTCGTTGCTTTATCAGTTTCTGTTGTTCGAGCTCATCACTCCAAAAACTGTTGTTATTTGTTCGCTCTTCTTTTCCCAAGGCTTCATATGCAAGGCTGTTCTGATTTTGTTTACGTGTACTATCATCGTAAAGACTGTTTATATTAAACTTGGTTTTCCTCTCAGTTGTTTTGTTTTCGCTTGAGATTTTATTGTCAGTCGAAAGATTAAGTTTAATTAAAAGATGTAAGCAACTGAACCATATAGAGGTAGAAATTATCAGATTATTTTATGATATATTAAAGCTCGATAAAGTTATTACTGTTTGGTTTAAAGGTCATTCCGGAAGACAAGGTAATATAATAGCAGATAACCTAGCCAACGATGCTTTGTCAAATAGAGAATACATAATATGCATACAACATATACTAACAAAAACCTTCATTATTGAACTGTGAACAGAAAAATAGTATGGTCAATTGGCTTTACCAAGAAAAAAATTCAATATTCAATACACAAACATGAATAAGGAATACAAAATGCAGAAATAATGAATAATCAATAATCACTAGTAACACTAGTAAAAATGTGTAAAACACATAGGAAAATTTTTGCGAATGCACTCCTTAGCGAGAAAATGTTTCAGAAAGATTTAGAAATCTATTTTTTTTAATTATCCTGTAAACATAAACATTTGTCTAAAATATACTGAGTATATAAAAAAAATTCAAAAAACTTTTTCACATTTTTCCTTTATCGCCATTATTGAAAATGTTCCCCCAAGTTTAGAGCTAAATAGATTCTTTTTCAACGTCTTCCGTATCATAATAAAAAATTTCGAATCCAAACTTTAAGACCAAAATGGGCGAAGACTTTAAGCAGTTGACAATCTGAATTTGTGGGCATTGACATCAAAAATAAACTTTTTATTTGTTAACAGATTAACCAGACGTATTTTGTTCGCTTTTTAACCGTTTCAGCTCAAACACTATTCCAGCAAGTCTATTATTTCATAAGTCTGGTGAATTATGACAATCTTCAAAAAATAAAGTAGTTGTTCCCTTATTCCACTCAATGTCACAGGATAAAAGCCGAACAGAATCGCTGATTATTAAAGACTATATTGTTCGTTACCAACATTAACTGCCATGGAGAGCACTACTAGTTGGATCACAGTTCGATATAATCTTAACTTGGTTGCCTGGG